GCCCCGCGCGCCCTGAGCTGCGCCACTTGAGCGAGAGGTGGAGGACCCAGGCGAAGACGCAGGCCGAGGCAGGCCCGAGTCTGCGCCCCGCGCCCCCCGCGCCCTCCCTGGCTCCCCCGGCGCCGTGCGGCCTCGGCCCGCGGCTGCAAGGACGCGCTGCGCGTAGGCCGGCCGGATCCTCGCGGCCAGAGCCGGGAAGCCCAGGCGGTCATCAGTTGACTCCTGGGTCGTGTGCCGCGGATCGAGCCCCACTCTGTGCAGCCGCCGTGAAGCCCAGCGGGGCCATCGGGCTGCTTTGTGTCGCCGAGGCCGAGCGGTCCCCGACGCCTGAGCTCAGGCCACCTCCCCCGACTGCGCAGCCGCCCCGCGCCCCGCAGCCTGAGAGGGGCTGTCACCGCCGATGACCCACGGGCTTCCCCAGCGCGGGGGAGGGGTGTTCCGACTTCAAAAGAGACCCCCCCAGTCTCTGCACACGCCCCCTCCACCTTTCCTCCCCTCCTCGGGAAGAGCAGGACCTTCCCAGCAGACCAGGAAGCCCACACCTGAGCGCGGTGCCGCAGGGCCGCCACGCACCCAGAAATCAGCCCAACGTGGCGTCTCAGGCCGATGCCCTCTCAGCCCTCAGGCCCGGCCCCTCGCGGCCCCCCAGCCGCCCGCACCCCGCCTGGCACCCGCGGCCTGCGGGGAGAGGGTGTCTGTCGGCGCTTCCCTCTCTCCGAGTTAATATTAACCAGGGCTCATGCGTTCCAGAGCTGCTCTCCAAGTTCCACTGGGGACGATCTTGCCATGGTTGAGGGACTTGGGCGGCAGTCACGTTAGAGAGACAGAGACACACCGAGACGCGGAGGGACGGCGAGACGGGGGAGGAGGGACACGCACCTGAGAACAGAATCCAGGTGGTTATCTTAAGAGAGGGGCCAGCGGGCGCGCAGGTTCCCGAGGCGCCCTAACCTCCTCTGGCCTGGGAGGCGGTCCCTGCGTCACCCCTTCACCCCGGCCCTGCCCCTCACCACCCACGTCCCCGCCCCTCCCGGCCCCCTTAACTCGTAGAACCGGTGGAGGAGGAGAGACAAGGAAGGGATAAACCAAGGGCACCTTCCGGGCCGACCCCCCCAGCCATCCACGTTTTGGGGGGCATTTGTGGGGTCCGTGATGCAAGTCTGGCTTGGCCCTCCCCGCCCCACCCCCACGGTGGCCGCCCCTCCCCCGTCCTTTTGTGCCGGGAACGGGAATAGCCACTGCCCAAGGAAAAAAAGTATTTGTTTTCGTTTCTTCGTCTGAGGGAAGTTGACAGAAGGTCAGAAGTTCAAATGCTGCCAGCGCGCGCGGCGGCGACAGCGGCTGGGCGCAGGGCCGCTGGGCCGTGGGTCCCCGGCGGGGCGGCCGGAGGAGGGACCCGGCTGGGGGCGCGGGCGGGGCGCTGAGGACCGGGAGGCCGGGGAGCGGCCGAGCCTGCGTTGCGCCCCGACCCGGGCACCCTCCTCCCCGCCCGCACGCGGGCGACCCCAGCCGTCGGGGTCCTGATCTTAGCCGGGACCGAGCCGCGCAGGGCGCCCGGAGGGGCAGCCGCAGCCCGGCCCCGCGCGCTGAAACCCGAGCCGCGGGGTCGATAAGCCCGGAGTAAGTGGAGCCGAATGCGTCTGCCGGGGCGCGCGGCTCCGCGCTCTGCTGCCGGGCAGCCGGGCGACCAGGCCGGGAGCCCCTCTCCGGCGTCGGCTCAGCGCCCACCCGGGCGGACGCTGACCTCTCCGGCTCGGGGACCACATGCGTCCCCGCCCACGCTGCCTTATCTTGCCTCGTCTCCCGCCTCCCCTGCCATAGACACCCCGAAAAGCCCCCCTCCCTTCCGCAGGTAGTAGGTGACCGGGGGTCGGGGCCCCGACTGGCTGGAGAACTCCCAGCGGCCGGCTGCACGCAGGAGCCCCGAGGCCTGCGCGGAGTTAGCCTCGGCTCTGGGCACGGGCGCGCGCGGCCACACGCGTGGTCCAGGTTTAAGGTGGCCGGGAGCGGATGAGAGCCGGGGAGAAGGACCCTCTCCTCCCCCACCCGTCAGCTGGAGCCGGCTCTCCCCGCCGCCCGAGTCCTTTCTCGGCCCCGCAGCAAGGCCGGGCTCGGGCGGGGAGCCGAGGGCCCGGAGGTGGCGCCTCTCGCCCGCCACCCCCACCCTGGCGGCACTTGCGCCCCTTCAGCGCCGCTCCGTTAGCAGAGCGCTCCTAGCCCTAAAGGTAGGACTTGAATATTTTAATAGGGCAATAAAAAGGATGTTGACCTATATTTGCCAGGAAATCCATATCTAGCCTCGGTTGTACGTGCACGGAGTTTCAGACAGTCCACCATGGGCAGGGACACTGGCGGCCAGAAGTCTCCCGCGGAGGCGGCGAGGGAGCGCGGCGCGGGCTCTGCCTCTCCCTTCCAGCCCCCTCCGCTAGTATTTAGTCGCTCCTAATTCCCATGCAAGCAGGTTGAAAGCTAGAGCGATGCAGTGTCAGTAAGTTCTAAGTCCCTCCCCTCAAGGACCGCGGCCCGGGAGAATGAAAGCGCATCCTTAAAGACATATCGATGCATTCTCACTCTGACGGGCACAGCTGGCAACGCGCGGAGTCGCAGTGGAGCTATGTGACACGCCAGGGGCCAGCCGGGCAGCCTCTGGGACCCCTGCCTTGTCAGAGCAGCTTCCTGGCTTTTCCGATTGAGGGTCTTCGGTGGGGGCCGCCGTGGGAAAGAAAAGCACAGAGGGGAAGGGAAACGTGGGCTCTGAGGTCTGATGCTAGAGGCTACATCTGTGCAGTGACCTGGGAACCACTCTATGGGGGGGGATTTCTGCCCCCCCCTCCATTTCCACTTCAAACTTGGAAAGGGCACACGCCCCCAAAGTGAAGGTCTCCCCAAGTTATAAGCCAGGGCTGAGTCAGGATGGGAAGGCCACCCCAGCAGGACAAATCAAATCAGGGCCGTCAATGGACCACGTCTCCTACGTCCCCCCCCCACACACACACCTGCCCCCACCCGAAACTTCTCTGGCTGGACCCTTCACCTCCATTCCTCTCCAGGAAGAGGCAGGTAGGCAGGTAGGCAGGTGGGGAAGGAGAGGGTGAAATTGCCTTTCTATCATCCTAAAGAGCAAACAGTCTAAGTCTGGAGCTGCTTGGTTACACAGAACCCCTTGAAAGCGATACAGTCCACGCCCGGCGCTGGGTTTCTACCTGAGTCATCAGCCGGTCCGCTCCGGTGTTCTCCTCATCCTTAAATATGATGTCGGGGTTGTAATTGGGGGTGAGTTCCTTAAATCGCTCCGAGTTTCTCGAGATCTTCCCTTCATATCTTCCACTGGCCCCTAGGGTCTTCTCGGCCACGTTGGGGATAAACTGCTTGTAGGCTAAAGGGGTCAGCTTTTTGGGGTGCCTCCTCTTCCCAAATCCCCTGCCGGGTCCGCACGCCAGCCCCGAGCCCATCAGCAGCGAGGAGATAAGCGCCACCAGCAGACATCTCGCCAGCAGCAGCATTTCGTCCATGGAACCCAGTGACTTCCAAGCCGTCCCCGTGCGGGTCTGCGCGCGCGAGTGTGCGAGAGTGTGTGTGTGCCTGTGCTCTCTGCCTCGCTCTTTCTCTTCCTATAGAACCCTGCCCGCTGCCGCCGCCGCCGCCGCTGCTGCTGCTGCTGCGGGGGACTCTCCGCCGGTCCCCACCCAGACGGGGGCTGGAGCGGCAGGCTGCTGGTCGCTGATAACGGAGCACATCAGAGTTGGGGCGGGAGACAGCAATCAAAAGACAAAAAGAGTCTGATTTTAAATGGTAGCAAGCCTGGAGAGCTTGTGAGAGAGGCTGTTCTTCAGCACTATATTATAGCTGGCAGGGGCGTATCTGATTGGCCAAAGCAGCACAAGCTTGTCTTCTGATGTTTAACCCTAAAAAAGACTAGAAATTTTTTTTTCCTGTTGGTGCTCTTGCTTTATTTTCACCTGAAGGCTTCGCGTTATAAAAGAAAGTCTCTAGTAAGACAAAGGTGGGCGTGCGGGAGGCCGCCGGCTCCTTGGGATGACATCAGTCACCCCCTGCTTTGTGCTTATCTCCGTGTCCCCCCTTCCCTTTCTCCCGAATGGTAGCTGCTTCAGTTAAAACCAACTTAAGTTTTTAAAGGACAGTCTAGACCCCCCCCCCAGCTTCAATCATCAAACAAGTATTCTCTCCAGTGTTTGAGGGGCGAAGCTGCCCAGGTCTTATTCAAATGCTTTTTTATTTTTTCAGAGACTTTATCATGTAGGCTGCGTCTCCCTGCATTTTAAAGACAGAGGGTCTGTGCGTTCTCCTGAGTGTTCAGCATCCTTGGACCGATTCTGACTGACTGCAGGGAAAGCATTGCTACTTGAAGTGTTTTAGGTGTCTTAGAAAAACTTGAAAATACTCCTTTATTGCGTTCCGATCAATGCATTATTTTTAACCCTCTGAATGTGGGGTGTGGTGTGCTTAGGGGCTGGTATAGACTGAGCTGCAGCCGTCCTGCAGGCTGGGCCCAGTGGTCTGGAGCAGGGGCCCTTGCCGTGTGCTGGGCGGAGGCCCGCTGTGCCTGGGGGCAGCGGTGAGTGGGCACGGCTGTGCACACGCCACCCCCTCCGTCTATCGATCTGAGCAAAGTGCAGGCCAGGGATGAGCTGATTGTGGGATTCAGGCTCCTTCCACATTGTGCCGAGCTGGCTGGCTTTCCGTGGAGAACTGCAAGCCAGTCCTCAGGCTGGTGGGGGCTGCAGGCTGAGATGGGGCAGGGTTCTGGGGGGACAGCGTTCTGCCCAAAGAGGGGGCATCCAAAAGAGGGACCTGCACTCAGAGCCAGCCGCACTGGAGTCCCCAGTACCTGTGCTCCTTTCAGGGGGGGGGAAGTCCTTATGTAAACCAGAAAAATAACATCAGAACATGCCCTCCCCTTCGCGGTCCTCCCCACCTCACTCATATGCAAGGATTGCTCTAGAATAAGGCAGGGGAGCCAGGGTTCTTCGTGTGGCATGGACCTGCTGTCCCTGAGAGGGGCCGGCCCTGGACTGTCGCTCTGTGAAGTTAGGCGCTCTGCCTTGACCCCAGCCCAGCCGGGTGGAGTGGGAGAAGCCAGGACTGAAGGCTGGGCCTTTGAAACGATGGGACCTTTCCAGCGGTCCAGGCGAGCCCCCTTGCAGATAGCCTTTGGGGTGAGGGGTGATGGAGGGAGGCATCTTAAGAGCCATCCAGCTGGGCCTGGCAGAGACGAGCACTGTCGAGGCTCAGCAAGTCCTGGGCCCTCCCCAGGCTGGCCAGAGGCCCCCAGCCCACCTTTCTTGCTTTTTCTAGTCTACAATTGGTGAAGAATTGACTACTGGGAAGAACGCCCATGCCTGGGCAAGGTGGGGAAACAGCACCCAACTTTATCAAGGCCTGCCAGGTGAAGGGATCTCACTGTCCGGGCTGTGGCCTCTGTGCATCTGTGCTTCCAGGAAAACAGACCAAAAGGATACACTGTCCTGGACCCAGGAGTGTGGGCCGCCTTGGGGTGCTTCCCGCACAGCTCGGATGCGTGTGACAGCACTGGGCGGGGCGGGGCCAAGAGGGGCTTGAGCAGACACTGGGCCTTGAGGACGCTCCGGCCTTTCGCTTGCCCCCCCCCCCGCGGCCCTGCTTCCGGCCTGGCCCCAGTTCCTTCCCGGTCCCCCTCTTTTTTGCTCTTGAGCCATCCCTTCCAAACCCAGGCGCAGGCAAAGGGTCTCAGCACCCGGGTCGCCACTGCCCCCGGGCGTGCAGCGGTGGGCGCGCCCAGGGCGCGCGATCCCCGTCGGTGCAGAGACCTCAGACCCACCACCTTCGCTCTGGAAGTCAGAGCAGGAAGGGCGCGCGCTTTCGGGGGGCGGGGGTGGGGGTGGGGTGTGTGTGTGGGGGTGGAGGTTCCCAAGCCCCTCAGGCCTCCTCGCCCCGGGTGGGGCCAAAGCCGCCTCCCTCGAACATCTCCAAGCCCTGGACACCCCAGAGCCTGTCAGGGGCCGCCTGCCCGGGGATTGGCAATCCTTAAGAATGAAATAACGATGGACCCCATAAAACCGCCACTGACCCCTTCCTAACGAGGACTTTCTCCCTGTCGTGGGTTGAGGTGGAACTCGGCACAAAACTCAACCACAGTTTGTATTTATTGTCTTAGAAACAAGGGCAAGGGCCCAATCGCCCCCCCACTTCCCTTCCCTTTCATCCTGCCCCCTCCCCATTTCCTAGACGCCAGACACGTTGTCTTCCACCTCCAGACACCAGATGGCGACCTCTCTTTGCCTTTCCCCCTCCAGACAATTCAGGCCCCTCCCCATGAGGGTCAGAGGTTCCAAACCCCACCTCTGCCTGACCTGGCCAGACACCCCGGATAGCCCTCAGGACCCACTTGTAATTCGTCCGGACTCTGCCCCGTTTCCGTGGTCCTCCGCATCCCTCCCTCCGTGCCTCCCTCCTCCCAGCCCTCCCTCCCTCCCTCGCCAGCATCCCTGCTGAGGACAGGTGGCGGCCTGGCGTCTTCCCCCACCCCGCAGGAGGCGCCTCCCGCCGGGCCCCGCCGCTAGATGGCGTCCTCACTCTGCCTTGAGCTCCGGCTCCGCGGGGCTGGGAAACCCAGGCAGGCCCCTGGAGCAGGGCTGGCCAGCTGGGGCCGTCCTCCCCCGGCCGGCTCTTCTGTGTTTGCGACCCATCCGTCCGCTTCCCTTGCCCAGATGGGCACCGCGGCGCGCGGCGCTGCGGCCCGGGCCTCCCCATGTCAGCCCTGGCTGCAGCCACATTGCTCGCCTGCTTCCTCTTCCCGGCCGGCCCGCCCCTTTCATGTCTCTTCCTGGTGGTACTTCTACTCAATCTCTTTCCATCCAACCCTCCAGTTTCAGTTTCTTTCTGATTGTGTTTTACTCTTGGCAAATGGAATATCCGTGGTTCCATTTCTCCCTTGTGATGGCCCGCCAGGGCCTCCCTCTGAGTTTTGGAGGGAGGCGTGCGTCCCTTCAGCAGGGTCTCCCACCGCCACTGGCCCTGGCCCAGTGCGGGGCCTGGGTGACCCGAGAGCCCCGGGTGCAGCTCGCCCAGGACGCCCCCGACTGTAGCTCCCCACTGTGCCGGCCTCATGTGTGCTGTCCCCATGGCCTGAAGCCCAGAGAAGGCCAGTGCCGGCCGGCAGTGGCAGGGGCAGCCGGGGAGGAGGCGCACAAAACCTCTGCTGGCTGGCGGGGTGACGATTTCTGCGTGGGCTGGCACTTGGGGGCAGCGCTTTTCAGCAGAGCAGAGAGGCGAGAGGGCACCGCCAGGGGGTGGCAGGTGGGCACCCCAGCGGCTTGCTGCACCATGGAGGGATGGACCTGGCGTCTTCCTGGCCTCAGCCGCCCTCTGAAGCAGGGATGCAGATGACACCTGGAGACCCCGTCCCTCCAGGGCCCTTACTCTTGCTGGGTTTGCTCAGCAAACCTGCGGGGTGCCTGGTAGGCCTGAGATGCTGTGGTCCCCAAAGAGGATGTGCTCGTCTCTAGGAGCGGGGACCTTTCGGTGGATCTCTCTCCGTGTCCACAGAGTCCCTGGGAGGCAGCGATCGTGCCCTGCCACAACTGTCACCTCCATGTGCCCTTTGCCCTCCCACGCTGGTGCTCAGAGCAGGTGCTGACGCCGTGCTTGGTGCAGGGGGTCCCTGACATACCGGACGATCACACAGCTGGCTGGGGAAACCGAATCCACAGTGGGTCCAGCGGATGCACCCAGGCAGGCTCATTGGCCAATGTGTCGCTTTCTCAGTGTGTGTGGACTTCCTCTCTGCAGACCATTCCCCACCTCTGCTGAGCTGCTCAGCCTTCATTTTAAGCCGGGGTGGGGGTGGGGGGGTGTGAGGGGGTGTTTCTCCTCAGGTCTCAGTACTCCCTTAGATGCGTGTGGTCCTTACATTTTCCAACTGTCTCATAGCCATTGTCAGGGACCGTGTCCATGTTTGTGAGTGGACATGTTTGGGACAGGAAGTGCAGTGTGGGGAGGCGGCCTCACGCTCAGGAAGGGAGGGCACCGCTGGCTGCAGACCTGGCTTTTGTGCACCCGACTCCTGTGTGCTCATCCCGGTCACACAGCTGCCTGGGCCCAGGAGAGACGCGAGGCCCCGGGAGAGTTAACACAGACAGTGAACCCTCACTGCACAAGACAGCCATGTGGGGAACCTTCGCCGGAAGGGAGGGACCCAGCAATCCAGGCAGATTTCTAATGGGGATCCCCGAAGGCCAGGGCTAGGGGAGGTCCCCACCCTCAGGGCACCCTAGCCTCCTAGCGTGCCTTCTGTGTCTGCGCCCCTTCTGGGCCCCAGGACCTGGTGAGGCGCCCACGCAGCCCCACACATCAGGGCTCAGGGCTGTGTGCGTTTCTGGTTCTTCCTGGAGAGTGGGTATGGGGGGCACGGTGAGGGGGTGTGTGTGTGGCCACGAGGGCTCGGTCCTCTGAGGAGTGAGGGTATAGAGCTGGAGCTGGCACGCAGGGCTGGACAACTTGTCAAAGACCCAGCCCTGCCTCCGGGACCTGGGGACTCTGAAAGAGGGGCTCCAAATGGCCTCTGTTCAGGCCCTTTTCACCTGCTTCCTCCCCCTGCTGGGAGAGCCCCCCAATGCTGGTTTGGGGGCAGCTCACTCTGTCACTGTAAGGGGGTGGCCACGACCCACTTGGCAGCCAGCAGAGCGTTTAACATCATCTGGGCAACTTCTGTCCAAACATTTTCTTAAGAAAAAAGAAAAAAAGGCGGGGTGGTGGTGGTGGTGGTGGTGGTGGTGATGCAATGCTGACATGCGGAT